AACATACCCCAAACAAATTAAATGCAATTATTTTAACTAATGAGATAACCTTTCCAGATGAAACAGTAAAAAAAAAAAAAAAAAAAATCATGGAATTATTCAATGTTGAGGAATCATTAAAAAAGAAGAAGAAATCATAGCACTTCTTTTCAGGTTTTTATAACAACATGAACTCTTTGAAGCATGGATTTCATTAATAAAAAATAATATTCTGCATCAAGCTGGTTTTAAGTTTCTCAGTTGACAGATCAGCTTTTCAGGATGGAACCTCATCATGAACCATTTTTAAAACTTGCCATTATAAATATTCAATTGGATCGAGATCCAGGCTTTTTGCTATCCATGTCATTGAGTCGATGTGTCTTTCCTGATGAAAAGCTTTAACTTTCTTTACTTTATGGCAAGATGCGTTATCATCCTGAAAATGCACTTCTTCATCACTAAAAGGTTTTTCTATCAATGTGATGAGAAAAGTTATCAAAATTTCAATGTCGATCTGCTGCGGCTTATTGATTACCATTTCCCTTGGCTGTTTACCTTAAATGCACCCCCTTATCATAAATTAAAGAGCATATTTGCTTGTTTATTTCAGGCAACCATTTTTATGTGTTTCATTGAAATAGCACAAAAAAAAGTTCCAGCATCACTGCTTTGGCCAATGCAAATTCATGATTTATTACTAGATATCACTTTCTTTCAATCATCCACACTCCATGATTGTTTCTTTGTAGCCAATTGTAACTTTCCACCATTTAAGTTTTAATGTTGGTTTTGCTTGGCTTTTCCCTATAGAAATTCCATTTCACTTAGTTGATTTCTTACAGTTATGACATAAAAATTAGCTACTGTTTCTATCCAATTTCTTTTTATTCATTTTTTGTTTTCAAAATATATTGCTTAGAGTTTTCTAACCTGATGCTTTAATATCTTGTGTCTGCTCATTTGTTTTCCTATCCTATTTTGTTTATACTTGCTCTGAATTTTAGACAACTAACTCGGAACAACCAACTTGCCATAATCTATGTTGGATTGCTTTCTCAAAGGAGTTTTATAATCCTTTCTGTTTCAATGCACAACTCTCTTGTTGAAGACATGTTTCTTTTCACTTAGCCAAGTATGACAATTTATGAAAGTTGGAAAGCACTCTCTTAACAAATTAACAGACAAATTATTTGTTATGTGTTTGAGAATTTAGAAAGCAAATTACAAGGTGAGCATTTTTCTAACAATTTCATTTGGAAAAGTAAGGCATTAATTTAAACAATTGGGATGCATTTCATGAAACCAGAAGGTTTGGTTCTTAAAGGAAAATTATATTTGTCATATGTGGGATATTTTTATTTGTTATGAAGTAAAAGTTGAGGGAAAATCCTCTAAGTGAATTGATGCCATTATTTTTGCCAGGGATAATATGAAGAAAGTTGGATCTTTAAATCAGTTTTTTCTAACAATTAAAAAAAAAAGAAAGAAGAAAATAATCTTCATCATAACTATTAGAAAATATCACCAGCAAAAAATTAAATAGGATATGGCAGCCAATAGTGCCAAGTTTTTGAGAAGCTGAATTAAGATGTGGGCAGTTTCATGATCAACTGACAGCTTGTGGGTTGGTTGCACATATTTGTAAAACATTCACTTATATTTGGTTTTGAGTAGGAGAATATCAAACCATAGTAAAATTATTGAAATATTAGTACAAATTTATTTTTTAACTTAATATAATATTCTTTTTAAGTCTAAGGGAAATGAGTGCAGGAAAAAATAAATATAGAATCTTAAAATTATTGAAACATGCCTATTCACTTGGTAGAAAGATTAACGCTTATAGCATTCACTGTCAGCTGAAGTAATGTGTGTAGACAGAGGAAAAAAAACATTTATCAGAATATTGCTTTGTAGCTTTTGTTCTTATGCTTGAATACTTTAGAACAATGTTTGATCACTTAAAATTAAAGAGAAAGACTGGAGCCATAACTATTTGAAATGGCTGCTAAGGTCCACATTCCAAACATAAATTCTTAAAATAAAGGTGAAGAATAACAAATGTTGATAGAAGAGCAATAGAGTAATTCTAAGTATTTATATCAATGGCTGTCTGTGAGAAAGAATAAAACATAAAAGAGAAGATATACCAAATTTGCTCATATAAATATGGCACCAGATGAATTTATTTGGAAAAAAAAAACCTTACTGCAAGCAATTTCATATCCAATCTGGGATATCCTATCAATGAACATATATCATTGAATTCTGTACCAGTGTTGTTAGGATTAATTGGATGATAATCGGTAATTGGTCACATCAGCATTTACCAATTAATTTGTCATCAGATTTTTCTTTTTGCCAACTAATTGGTTTTCCTACTTGGTTATCCTTGTTTATTCCATCACGGAGATTTCATCCCAGGATTAAGACTCATCAGTTATCTTAGATACAGAATGAATTCAAATAATATTCTCATAGTTTTTCATTAATTTTCTTTTTGCCAATATTTACTGAAAGTAATTAAATTACTGATTATCAACCAATTAATTAGTGCACCATATTCTATACAAAGGTAAAGATAAATATCTTGCCTATTCATTAACTTTTACCAAAAAAAAAAAAGAACAGGACAAATTAAATCTATTACTTTAGCAATAAAGAAGTTGATCTGAAATTATTTTTACCAAATACAATGTCAGTAATAAAAAATACTAATGAAATCCCTTTGTTTCTATTAGTATTTTCCAATTAAAAATTTTCAATGTTGCACCAGAATGTTTTTAAAAAATATCCAGAATATTGAAAAAGTAACAATTTAAGAAATAACAAAGCCTCCAAGACTTCAGGAGTTTTAATGAAATAACTTGCATAATGGGATTGAAAACTAATGAAATAATTTTATTTTTAACAGTCTGCTGTCACTGAAAAAAATTAAATAATTATCCACATCAAAATAATGTATAATTTGAGAGGCTCTCAAGGTACAATATGAAAAGAAAATAGCTGACCAGATATGGAAAAAAGATAACAAAACATGCTGAATTGCTGGACAACAGTTGTATAGTGTTAAGAAGCTTGTAAATGATTAAGCCAATGGCAGCAGGATGGGATTAATAGAAAAATAGAAATAATAAAGATTATGATACAGATGGTAGATAACAATTGACCCTAAAATAAGATGTTCAACATTAACAAGGCAACATAAAGAAAACACACAATTAATGAAGATTTATGAAAATGCTCATAAAAATAAATGGATATAAATTTTCAATAATCACAGCACAAACAGTTTCTAATCTCCATGCAAATTCTTTTGCTATTTGTGATTTAAACTTGTAAATCAGGTTTATTCAGATTTTGATTAATATACTTGACTCATTTCAAAATAAGAAATATTCTATTTTCTTTAAATTTAACAACAGTAGAAAAGAAAAGAAAATGAATTCTGTTCCTTAAAATACTTATCAAAATAACATAAATCTAACTGCTACTGAGAAAATAAGAAAATTTTATTTATTAATGTAGTTGGTCATGCATTATAGACAACAGAAATTTGTTGAAACCATTCAAAATTTACCAGATTTGATAGCATAGAAGACACATTTTTTCCAAAATGAAAAGAAACTCATTCAGAATTGAGCCAAATAAAGTATGATATGAAATTCTAGTAAGATTCAGTGTGCCATCCAATATTCTCTCCTTTAAAATGGAGGCATGAATCTTATATGCTAGCAAATAAGGAAAGCTTCAGTTATCATTCATGTCCAAATGCAATTACACAGATTAAAAGCAATTCCAAAAATTACTTTCTTTTGTATATTCAATGTTTTATACTATAAACAAATAGTTCAATTTTCAAATTTTATTTCTTTTACAAAAAAAAAAATGACATGATGAATTTTAGTGAAACTTCACATAATTGTTATTCAATAGGCAAAAATAATTATGTGCCAATTTTCATGAAAATCTATCTTATTTTTAGATATGTTGCTAAAAGATCAAAGTATATAACTATATAGATTCTAACTTTGGCATGAATGGTAAAATTACTTCTATTCATAAAACCAAATTGTACTTGTGTATATTGCAGCAAACATTTGTAAGAAAATTTGCTAACTTCCATTTGAAAGTAATTCAGTTGAGGTCAACAATGGTTTCATTGCCAAGAACACTGATAATTATCTTAGGTTTATGTCTACACATCATCTTGATGCATGCAAATATACAAGGAAAATTGTGTGTCTAAAAAATGTATGTTTGAACTGACACAACTAATAAAAGATAGAGCACTTGTTATTGGCAGATTGTTGAGTTGATATCGATTTAAATAGGAAAAAAATTCAATTAAACAATTGCCTTGAATACAGTTTAAGACAATCAAATAAAGTAAAGATTTTACAAGCAATCTAATGACCCAAATTATAGAACTGCTAATAATAAAAAAGGAAAATAATTTGAAGATTTATATAACAATAGGTGACAAAATGAACTTTTTTTTATACAATTCTTTTTTACAGCACTGATATACTTCAATACTTAATAGATATTTGTACAATAGTAAAACAGATTTTGCAAGAGGTAGACTGATTGTTAAGCAGAAAGGGACTTTTTAATCCTAGATTAAAGTGAGAATTTCCTTTGAGATAAGAAGAAATGTTTACAGTGTAGAGAATTAATGGTTAAAATATTTCATGTTCAGACCTGGGGTCTCTACAAGACACTCGTTTGGGGTGAAAATATTGAAGTATGAGATTGATTCTTGATTGATTCAACCATTTGCAAGTTATTTAAAGATAGAAAATATTTTTTTAGATTGTAAGAATTTTATTTTTTTATAGATAATCATGATTTAATCTTACTAATCGACCCATAGCTGGGGGGAGAAGAGATGGATTCATACCTTTCCCAAGGGTATTTGTGCATAAGTAAATATAACAAACCCAACTGGAGTTCAAACTCAGCTCTCTGATTAACAATTCCGATCTATTATCCTTTACACCACCTGCATATTCAAGCGTACAGCACCTGGTATTTCCAAGCAGTCATGCATCTAAGTACTGACCAGGCTTGACATTGCTTAACTTTGGTGATCATACGGGAACTGGTGTTTCAACATGATGTGACCATAAGCCTAAGCATAAGAAATTGTTGCTTTAAACTGCCAAACACTCAAAGGTAACTTTCAATATTGTTGACAATCTCAGAATTTCTTCTAATTTTCAAGAGACTGGTTAAGCATTCTTATTCAGTCAGTCTTTGTAATTAAGATATAATCATGCCATAAACAGCATATTTTACTTTGTAAAATATTTTATTGCAACTTGCAGCTAATATTTCAATTATTTAATCCTGAGCTGAAAGTCACAAAATATTCTTCAGAAGACAAAAATATCTGTAATATACCAATGATTAAGAGAGGGAAAATTATAAGCAAATTTTCTATTCTTTACCAAGAATTAAACAGCACACTGATGAAAGATGGAACACAAATTGGTAGAATTAAAAAAAATTAAATTAATTCCTATTTATGAAGGAAATTTGTAATTCAGTGTTACAAGAAACATCCTGAAGCTATTTTTCTCAATGCTGCATATTGTGCGGTATGGAGAAATTTAATAAGATACACAAGAACGTATTGAGGGTCACAGAATAGCAACTGCTTTGGTATTAGGGTGAAGACAGACAATAAAAAAGACAGATGTCAATCATAGCTAAGGGAAATTAAATGAACTCATTTAGGACTTGCTTTATTCATAGCTAAGGAAGTAAATTACCTGCAACTGATAATGACTAAACTCTTTACAAAATCAAATTTAAATTATCCCACCATTCAAATATTAATTAGTTATCTCAGAAGAATGAATTGTGAGAGAAAAATGTGACCTTCATTCTTTCCTTTATCTGTAAGATAATTTTTTTTTTTTAAAATTTCAAATTGATTTGTTGATATTCTATTGAACACATTCTTCTGGAATACTTAAATAATTTATGCCTAATTCCATTTATAGATATACAAGGGGGGGGGGGTTTGCTGAAAATGACCAATTTCCCAAAATTAGCCTTTCAATGACCAAACATCAGAATACTGATTTTGGGTAGGAAGTTGAGTTGCCTGAGCACCAGAACATTCCAGCATTATATGATGTTATCCATGAGATAAGTTTGTATATTACATTCAATCATATTTTACATAAACTTACACATTGTCCAAGATTAAACAAAAGAAAATGAAGTAAGAAGAAATTAACTGCTTCTTTTATACAGAATCAAGAAAGTTAAGATTAGATGTAATATATATATATATATATATATATATATATATACACACACACACACATGAAAAGAGTCATTATGGATGTTTTTTTTAAATAAAAATTGGCGTAAACATAACAGAACTTACAACAACAGTTTTATTATTTAGAAAAAAAAAAAAATCTTGAAAAAGTTATGTGAGTGCTATTTCATTGTTGTTAGATACAAAACACAACCATAAATTCAAATAACTTGGAAAATTTAATTTTATTCCACAAAACAGTCCTGAAAAACATCTAAGCCTTTGTTTCTCTTATACAGATAGTAATGTTTGATTAAAGTAAATAAACAGTTATAAAATAAATAAGATTTTGTTTTAAAAAAAAGTCTGAAGTTATAGAATTACATGAAAGATTGAAGATGGAGAACAAAATCGTTATATGTTATTCAATTAATGTTGAAAATTAAAAAAATGTTTTTTACTTTAACTTAAGGAATCAAATAAACTTTTGATCACCCAATACAATTAGAGGACAGAAAGTGTGACATGGAAATCCAAAGATGGATTGAGACAGCAAGAAACGCCTTCCAAAAGCTGAGCAAAGTATTAAACAAAAATATTGTAGGAGGACTGATAGTACTCTTTGTTTCTAAAAAATGAGTACTGAACTGTTATGTAATATTAGTACTCCTATATGGCAGAAAATACTGGACAATTTCTTTACAGATGAAGAAGAGACTTGATGCAACAAAAATGTGGTTTAACAGAAAAGGCTGCGAATACCATGGACCAAACATGTGAGCAACAAAGGAGTTCTAGAGATTAATGGCAACAAAAAGGACACATTTACTTAACATCAAAAAGAGATAGTTGAAATTTCTGAGGCACATAATAAGGAAGGAGGGCTTGGAAAATTTGATACTCACAGGACAGAATGAAGGTAAGAGGGACAAAGGAAAGCAATGCATAACCTACCTAGTGAGCTTGAGTGAATGGATGGTGGAGCAGGGCTAGGGGGAAGTGGCAAAAAGACAAAAGTAGTTAAAAGCTAAAAAGGAAAGGAGATTGTGAAGAGCCACGATTACCAACATCCTAAAGGGACACAGCACACAGAAGAAGAATATAATGCAATGTGGAATCAAGGATTGATTTGAACTTTTAAAAACTGATCTAAAAAAAAAAATGGCTAAGAAATAATTCCATTATGACTGGTTAAAATAACAAACTAAAGAATGCTTTGTTTTATCAAATGCTCAGACAATAAGTCATTTTTAAATCTTTGTTGTTAGTAGTAAAGATAAACTGCACAATGGTATGTTATGTTTTTAAAGTTATTTATTGATTTGTTTGACAATTCTATTTTGGATGTAATCCAAAAAAGAGAAGTAATAGCAATCCAGTTTATGGAAGAAATATTCTATAGAATATTTAACTTGAGCTCTAAAGGTGTTGAAAGAGGTTGAAATATTTCTGGGTCTTTGAGAGAAATTGCCATTTTTTCCCCCAAGTGGATATGATTACACGCAGAAGATGGGTGTGTCAGGAAAGGGATTTCTTTTTTGTTCTCACATTGGTGGAAATGCAAAACTGTAAGATGCACTGTCATCTATTAAAAGCAAAGAAACATCTCTTGCTTTTTAGGCATGTTAATTTGTTCAGCAATATGCACATGGTTTGATAAGGAAATTAAGTGCCATGGGAAACATCAGTGATGATTGACTGCAAAACGAGACCAAATTAATAAACAGCAGCATGCAGAACCAATAGTATCATCAGATCTACAAATAATCACATTCTTTTTGTAAATCTATAGACTTACTTGACCAGAGAACAGCCATCAATAAAGTCAACAATACAATATGATTTGTGAGAAGCACATGAGTTAACATGGGAATGATAAACATCAATATTCAGTTTAGTGCTTGTCACATTCAGATCTTGTCACAGAAGCTTCAGTATCTGGTTGGAACAGATATGACTGTATATTCAGACAAGAAATTGCTTCAGGACACATTTTAAAGCCTAAAAAATCATACATATTCAAAGAAACCTAATATTTCTATAGATCTACATGCATCTTAAATCTGGATGACAAGTAATGATAAATGTAAACTGATTAGATTCAAGTTATTTTACAAACATCAAAGAAATGACAGGTATAAAACATCCTTATTAGATCTTGTTCAGGAAAGTATTCTGACAACTAGTAATTTCTATCAATATTATTATATCTTTTTGAGAGCTGACTAATTGCTTTTAAAAGATATGTAATATCAGAAATATTAATTTCTTAAGTTAGGAATTTGTTGAGAATGAATATGATTTGTAAACACATTTATAGTCATAGAAATTGCATGTTTCTTTTTACATTTCTTTTGAAGATGTCTTCTCTTTGCATGAATAAAACGATAATATTAGGGTTAACAAGGATTTTGTTCTAACTTTTCTTTTGTCTTCTGCTTGAAGCTAGTAGGCAAGTGAATTTTCTTGTCTCCCAATATTGTTAGAATTTGCTTTCAGTACAGATATGTGTAGGCACAATTTCTCAAAATTATCATTTGCAATATTTATGCTTGGACATTTGTTATTTTAGCCAATGTGTTCTGTTTATTGGTGGATGACTATAACAAAAAAATAATGAAAAGACAAAAGAAAAACAAGGATAAGTTTTGTGAAAATTTATAAGTTGTGACTGATGGCTCATCACACAAATTCCAAACTTCTATATGCCATATCCTTTCAGAATGTCCAGACTATGGTATACAAAATATACCATTTCACTTGTGTGGAAAGATCAATATGAACCCAAGTTATCTTGTGCAGCAACTTTGATTAAACAAATATTTTGAATTGTATTTAGAGACAAAATTTCCTTTTATTCAAAGATTTACATAAAATGAAGTAGAAAAACATTTAAAAATATCAAATAGTACCTACAATAAATACAATAAAAATTTCTAACGAGATGTCATTTAGTTGTTAGTATAGAATGTTTACAAGCTCCAATTCAAGAGTAATGACTGCTATTCTGTTGAAGTATTATATTACTTGAATTCCTATTAGCCATGTCTATAAGGCATATCTAAGTATGGAAATCTTACTCTCACAAACATACATAGAGAAGTAATAGTGACAGGCAAAAATAATTACAGTGAAGAAACAAGCAGATGCTGCAGAGTCGTAATCAAAGTTCCAGTCCCCAGCTGAACCTTTATTGTAATTGTTATCTCTTCTTTTTACTTGAACCCTTCTCCTCCTCCTCCTCCTTCCTTCCTTCTTCACTTTCTTATACTGTGAACAATGAATGAAGGTTGGCTGCCAATGCAGAGATTGGTCATAAAGTAAGCCTAATCCTTATTCCTATTTTAAACATAGCAATATTCCTCAAAGACATGCAAAAGAAAAGAAAAATACAGGAAGAGATAAGCACAGAGACAACAATAAAAAAAGAAGACAAGCAGATAAATCAGCCAATAGAAGGAGAAGATCAAATAGAAAGAGGCATAAAATGTGAGGAAGTAAGTTAGAGTAAGGATAATAGGGGGGGGACACAAGGAGAAAGAAGAATGGCCAAAAGGAAAATAAAGAGAGAATATCCTGAGATATTACTTAAAAAGAAAAGGAAAAAGCAGACCTACTCAGAAAAAGAAAATGACTATCAAAGTATAGAAATACAAGGAAAAAGAGAACGTATAAAAGAAAAAAAGGGTTGTAAAATCTCATACAGAAAATAAAACCTAACTAGCAAACAGAAGAATGGCTGTAACGGAAATCAGAAATTAAAATAGTAAAAAGAAAAAGTTGAATTATAATGAAATGAAAGAGAAAACATGCAATAGATAAACCGAAAGAGAGAATAACTGTTAGGTTATAGA